GCTTCGGGGCGCGGAGACCCGCATTTCACTGTCCCACCAGTCAGCATCGCACTGCCGCTGAACAGTGTTGCATCAACCGGCTTTTGTTTTCTTTTTTTTTTTTATATTCCTTCCAGCTAAGCTAGCAGAGGGCGGTTACATGACATATGAGCAGGGTGGCAACTGCCGTCAACTCCCAGCGCCTGGCATCTATTTATTACAGTCAATTTGGAAATAGCTACCCGCAGGGGAACTGCTGGCCAAATCCCTAAAGAACACGCTCAAGCCGAAAACACCAGTGTCTCAGGCAGCCACAGCTTGAGGACACAGATGTTTAAAAAAAGACCTTTTTGTTTGCATCACCTCGAAGCACAGCAGAAGGCTGGGTCTGCACAGGCCAGGCAGTGAGCGAGGGCACCCAGGTGCTAAGGCGCCGGCAGGAGCGTTTGCTCAATAATTGAAAGGAACAGGGCAGATAGTGGAAATAATTCAGGGGTGACTGAGTCAGAAAGGTGGTACAGATTTCATTTTTTAAAATCTTTATGTTGAAATGATTTTAGGCTTGCCAAGATAGTGCCATGTTCCCTAGACCCCTCACCCAGTTTCCCTAATGTGAACATCTCACACAACCGTGATACACTGAGCAAAACTCAGAAATTTTGTTTTGAGATAGGATCTCACTCTGTCACCCAGGCTGGAGTGCAGTGGCGCGATCACGGCTCGCTACAGCCTTAACCTCCCAGGCTCAAACGATCCTCCGGCCTCAGCCTCCCGAGTAGCTGAGACCACAGGCAGGCTCCACCATGCCCACCTAATTTTTAAAAAATGTTTTGTAGAGATGGGAGTCTCCCTATGTTGCCCAGGCAGGTTTTGAACTCCTGGGCTCAAGTTATCCTCCCAGCTCGGCTGCCCAAAGTGCTGGGATTACAGGTGTGAGCCACTGCACCCTGCCCAAAACTCAGAAATTAATATTGGTGCAACACTAGCAACTAAACTATAGACTTTAGTTGGATTTCACCAGTTTTTCCACTGATGTCCTTTCTGTTTCAGGAATGGATCCAGGTGTCCACATTGCATTTAGTTGTCATGATTCCGTCTCTTCTGGTCTGTCAGAGTTTCTCCCACTTTCCTTGTCTGTCATGACCTTGACATTTTTCTGAAGCGTGCTGGTCAGGTGTTTGGTCCAGATTTGTAGTATCTGTGGAAATCTGTTGGAATGAGTGCCCTTGGCCTACGAGGCACAGTTGGGGGTGGTGAGCTACACCCTGCGGGACAAATCTAGGCTGACGCCTGTGTTTGCAGGTCTCCGAGCTAAGAATGGGTTTCACTTTTTTTTTTTTTTTTTTTTTTTTTTGAGACGGAGTCTCGCTCTGTCTGCGATCTCCGCCTCCCGGGTTTATGCCATTCTCCTGCCTCAGCCTCCCGAGTAGCTGGGACTACAGGCGCCCGCCACCTCGCCTGGCTAGTTTTTTGTATTTTTTAGTAGAGACGGGGTTTCACCGTGTTAGCCAGGATGGTCTCGATCTCCTGACCTCGTGATCTGCCCGTCTCAGCCTCCCAAAGTGCTGGGATTACAGGCTTGAGCCACCGCGCCCGGCCGGGTTTCACATTTTTAAAAGGCTGAAAGAAAAACAAAAGACGAATAATATTCCATGATATGTGGAAATTATCATGAAATCCAAATGTCAATGTCCACAGGGAAATCGGGACTGGGAGACAGCCACAGGCATTCTTTTCTGTGTTAACCCTGGGGGCTTTTGCACTACAGTGGCAGGATTAGGAAGTCACCACCAAGACCCTTTGGCCCCAAGAGCCTCAATATTTACTCCCTGGCCTTTGACAGGGGAGGTTTGCCCACCCTGATGAGGGCCCTGTGAGGACCTGCCATTGGTCTTCATTCCAAAGCTAAGTCAGCTATGAAAAGAGCACTTAGCTGCTGGGCACAGTGACTCATGCCTGTAATCTCAACACTTTGGGAGGCCAAGGTGAGTGGATCACCTGAGGTCAGGAGTTTGAGACCAGCCTCGCCAACACGGTGAAACCCCATCTCTACTAAAAATACAAAAATTATCCAGGTGTGGTGAAAAAAAAAAAGAAAAAAAAAAAAAAAAAAAAAAAAGAAAAGAAAAGAGTACGGAGGCTTCAAGTTCATTGATTCCATCATTCCACAAATACTTGTTGAGAGCTCATCATCAAAACTAGGAGAGACCCCTATTTGAGCAAACGCTAACTCTTGCTCAAACTCTGGGTTTGGGAGAGGTTAATTCGTACCAAATGTCTTCCTGATTCTCAGGCACAGTTTCTGCTGTGATAATAATAGCTGCTGTCATATTTGGAGCTCTACCCTGTGCCAATAACGCTTTACTTGCACCATCTCTTCTCATCCGCACTACCACCGCAGGAGTTGCTCCGGGAGGAAACTGAGGTCTAGGAGCTTAGCCACACCCAAGGCGCACAGGTGGCTAGAAAGTTGCAGAAGCCGAACAGGAGCGTGGCAAGTCCACGGGCTCCCAGCGCAGACACTGTGCGGGCGAGGCCCTCACCTGCAGGTGGGACCCGGGGTCTGGAGCAGAGAGCTGGCACTGGGGAGGCTCTTGGCGGTTCCAGATTCAGAACTCACAAACTGCGATGTGAGAGTCAGCCGGCCACAGGCCCCACGTGAAACGCACGGGAATCTTTCTGCAAAGGAGCATCACAGTGTTTTTGTGTTCAGCATTTAGTCCCTAAGTGTGAAGCACAAGCGAGCTCCATGATGCTCTCTTCTTTGCTCTCCCTGTTGTCGCTGCCTTGCCACCCCTACTGCCGGGAGCCTGAGTTCTCTGCACTGCGCCCTCTTTCCTGCTGATGGAACCGGGCCGCTGGGGCCTCCCTTTTCTCATCTGTGCGGCCACCAGGCTGGGCCTGCCCTGATGGGAGGTGAAGAGGCCCTCCTGGAGCTGAAAGGGGCACTTGACTGTGCCCTGCCTTTGTCAAGGAAGTCAGGAGACAACAAAATGCAAGCACCTTCGCCACAGTGGTGGAATCACGCCTGTAATCCCAGCACTTTGGGAGGCTGAGGCAGGTGGATCACCTGAGGTCAGGATTTCGAGACCAGCTTGGCCAACATGGTGAAATCCCATCTCTACTAAAAATACAAAAATTAGCCGGGATGGTGGTGCACGCCTGTAATCCCAGCTGTATCCCGAGTGGCTGAGGCAGGAGAATCACTTGAATCCAGGAGATGGAGGTTGCAGTGAGCCGAGATTGCACCACTGCACTCCAGCCTGGGTGACAGAGTAAGACTCCATCTCAAAAACAAAAAACCAAAAAACCCACAAACACCTGCAGAAAGAGGTCCCCAGGTAAGAAGGGTCCCCCGGCCAGGCTGGGCTGGGTGTGGGGTAGGAATGCCATTCGTGCCAATCCTGCTGTCCATGGTGATCTTGGTCTCCTCAGTGAACACAACCCTAACCACAATCCATAACCAGGACCTCCACCTCCCCGCTCTCTGACTCCAAAGGAGATGCTGAGGCTGGATGGACAGAGAAAGAGAGCATCTGGCTGTGCTAGGCAGTGTCCCAGCTTAATGAACCCGCCATAGTGGGTCCAACTAACCACAGATCGGTTCTGCTCAAGACAATTCCAATACAAGCCATCAATCAGAACCAAATCAGAGGGCGCCAGACTCAATGAACGAAGCCCCTGGTTGGTGTGAGACAGTATCCAATTCTGAGTTATTTTTTGAAGAGAACAAGTCATTTCAGAGTTTCTTGTTCCCTCAAATGTCCCCAGGAACTTTTTAACTGGCTTGATACTAGATCTCCTAAGCCCTCAGCAGCTGCAAAATTGATTCATAAAGCTTGTTTTTCTTTTCATGTTTTTTAAAAAGAACAAAATGTAAATTAGGTTGCAAAGCCCTGGTGACATGATCTGACAAGCTGGCGCCAGCAGAACCTTGGCCCGTGCTGTCTGCCCCAAGGTCACAGTGACACAGCCTGGTTTGGGGTAGACGGTTCCCTTCCATGTTCCAAGGCGTTCCAAAGACCATGCCAGATTTCCAGCTGGACCCCATGTAGTGGAGGGGGCTTCGTGCGTGAGTAAGGATGTGGTTGTTATTCTGTTTCTCTGCCACAGAATGTTCCTTCAGAGAAAGGCACTTTAAGTGGATCAGAAATGTTATCTCAGATGCTAGTTTCTCTGGGGAAGAAGCTGCTCTGGGGGGTGTGTTGGATGGAGTGTGTTGGAGAATGACATCTGGCACCTTTGCCTGAATGAGGCCTCAGAACGGATGACAAAACTCTAAAGTCAGACCAACTCTCATCTGTTCGCACTGCAATGCTATGCGATTTTCAAGGCCAAAATACTGCTATAAACTTAGTAACGTCCCCTAAATGTCCCAGAACTGGGGAACCGGCCCCTATTTTTGCCTACTACATGTTTTGCGGCCCAGCGGAGTGTGAGGCAGCCAAGCCACCACGCTGGTGAGTGTGGGTGCGAGGGAGGCCCCGGCCTCTGCTGGGCGGGGCTGCTCTGTGGTTTCTGGCCCAGGTGCAGTGTGAACGGGTTCGGGGGGGCTCAGAGGGGCTCCTGCATTCTCCTGGCAGCTGGCAGCAGGGTTAAGCGTGGTCAGTGATGCTCTTTGTAACGGCCATACACCACTTGGGTGTTCTGCTGATAAGAAGCCACAATCTGGGACTCTCAGAAGCCCAGTGCACCCGGCACCCCAACCCCAGCCCCACAACAGGCAGAGGTGATCCACACTGGGCCACACTGGGCGGAGGGTCCAGGCGGCCCTGCAGGGAAAGGGGATGAGGCCATGGACCATCATTTCCCTGGACCATACGTGTCTTGAGGAAGGCCTGCTGCTGGCTGAGCACCTCTCTGCTCCCCAAGACCACGCCCCCTCTGTATCTCGTGCAAACCCCATCCAGGCAGCATCGCCAGAGACCCAGAGATCCAGCCACCGTGTATATCCAGCTGCCAGGGTTTTTCTCGCCTCCGCCTACTTTTCTATTTCAGAAACAGTGGAATGTCCAACTTTGTGAATTCCATTGCTCACCAGAAATTTGCTTTAATGTCTAAATGTTCTAAAGATGAGAGGGGGGAGGGAAATGCATAAAAAGCAGTGCCTCATGGAAAACACACGCATGTGCATGCACACACACCCAAAGTCCTTTGTGATTTAAACATTCCTGGTAATTTCACTGACCATCCTGGCCAGAATCTTCTGAAATGGTTAAGCCAAGAATTTCAGTCGCGAATATTTCTGCAGTGATTTCGTCTGGAAGTTCTTCTTCAAGGCAAATTTCTGAGCCTAGCCAAAACAAGAACAGAACACCAAATGCCTTCACGATGATTATGTTTCTTTCTTTTTTGGGTGGGGGGAGGGTTTGAGACAGGGCCTTGCTGTGTTGCCCAGGCTGGAGAGCAGTGACACGATCATAGCTCACTGCAGCCTTGAACTCCTGGGGTCAAGCGATCCTCCCACCTCAGCCTCCCGAGTAGCTGGGACCACAGGCACACGCCACCATGCCCAGTTCATTAAAAAAAATTTTTCCTAGAGATGGGGTCTCACTGTATTGCCCAGGCTGGTCTCAAACTGCTGGCTTCAAGTGATCCTCCCACCTCAGACTCCCAAAGCGCTAGGATTACAGCAACTGCACCCCGCCTCAATGATTATGTTTCTAACTCAGAAGGATTTTCCAAAAACACAAGGAAATGCTACTAAACAAAAACAAGAGGGGCTTTGTGCTGTGATTTGGCTTTGATTCCTTGAAAAACTCTGGGTGGAAATTGCTTAAAAATCTCTCCTTTACAGAACACTGTTAACCAAATCTCTGCAAACCTTACTGGAAAGCCTTAACCACATGGTATGATTGATTAAACACAGCAGAAATCTGTAACAATCGGGAAAGGTACATTCTGAGATCCGAAGTACATAAAGGAATGGGGTAGGGAGAACTTGCAGGTTGGGAATGACCTGTTAGCTACTAGATTCTGGAATGAGTTCAGGGACTTTAATTTGACGTGGGGAATGGACAATAAAAGGAGAGGGAAAAGGGGAATGGGTGAGGGGTCTTTGTACCCTCCTCAGTCTTGGTAATGGTGGTGGGATCTGACCACCCCCGGGCTTGTCAGCAGAGTTGCTCCTGCACCAGCGAGCCTAGAAGAGCCGTTTAGATTGGTTCCTCCTGAGCTGAAGGTCACAGCCCTAACTTCAGGTCCAGTGCACGAAAAGAAGGTGAAAAATACTTAGGCTATAGCAGGAAGGGACATGATGATGATCTTTAAAAACTTGAAAGTTTTGGCAGCTTGCAGCTAGGCTTGTGCTGCCCAAGTTGATGCTCTCTCCTTCTCCAAATCTTTCTCTCTCTCTCTCTCTCTTTTTTAATTGAGACAAGCTGTCACTCTGTTGCCCAGGCTGGAGTATAGTGGCACGATCCTAACTCACCGCAGCCGTGAACACCTGGGCCCGTCATCCTCCCACTTAAGCCTCCTGAGTAGCTGGGACAAAAAGCACGCACCACTATGGCCAGCTAATTGTTTTGTTTTGCTTTAATTAATTAATTTATTTATTTAGAGACAGAGTTTTGCTCCTGTCACCCAGGCTAGAGTGCAGTGGTGTGGTCTCGGCTCATTGCAACCTCTACCTCCTGGATTCAAGTGATTCTCCTGCCTCAGCCTCCCAAGTAGCTGGGATTACAGGTGTGTGCCACCACACCTGGCTAATTTTTGTATTTTTAGAAGAGACGGGGTTTCACCATGTTCGTCAGGCTGGTCTCAAACTCCTGACCTCAAGTGATCCACCCTCCTCAGCCTCCCAAAGTGTTGGGATTACAGGTGTGAGCCACTACACCCAGCCTGTTTTATTTTTTATAGACATGGGATCTCGCTATGTTGCCCAGGCCGGTCTCAAATTCTGGACCTCAAGCGATTCTCCTGCCTTGGCCTCCCAAAGTGCTGGGATAACAGGCATGAGCCATGGTGCCTGGCCCCCAAGTCTCTCCTGACATACCTCTTCTTCTGAAACAGCTGTCAAACTGGATCCTCTACTGGTGGCCAATATTCACCCACCCAAGCTGGCAAGATGACAGGTCAGTGGAACAAAGGGAAAATAAGCCCAGAAGAAACAAAAGGACGGACAGAGTGCGGGAACAAAAGCCACCACTCACTGTTCTTTTCATAACTTATTCATGTGGGATTCCCAACAGACTTACTTTGTTATGTGCAGTCTTAGGGAGAGTGGCTTGCACCAATCAGGAGAAATAAATGTACTTAAGTCTACAACAAATTAGTGAACCACAGCTACATGCCCAGACAAAGCCAGCCAGGGTACCTTTGACAGAGGAGGTTGCAGGCTCAGATTTCCATCCTTCGGGATTCAGGCCAAGCAGTGAAGCAAAGCAATCCAACATCTCCTCCTCCGTCATGTGTTCACCTGTGTATCAAAGAGTAAGAAGGTGGTTGTTTAGCTCTTGAGGCTAAGCATACTGTCAGGGCTTAGGGTGATTATTCAGAGGTCTTAAAGAGAATTATCCCACTATTTTTTTTTCTTTTACTCAATTAAAAAAAAAAAGTTTAGGCTGGGTGTGGTGGCTGATGCCTGTAATCCCAGCACTTGCAGAGGCCAAGGTGGGCGTACACTTGAGGTCAGGAGTTTGAGACCAACCTGGCCAACATAGTGAAACCCCATCTCTACTAAAAATACAAAAATTAGCCGGGTGTGGTAGCGCATGCCTGTAATCCCAGCTACTTGGGAGGTTGAGACAGGAGAATTGCTTGAACCCTGGAGGCAGAGGTCACAGTGAGCTGAGATCACACCACTGCAGTTCAGCCTGGGTGACAAAGCGAGACTCCGTCTCAAAAAAAAAAAAAAAAAAAAAAAAAAAACCAACAAAAACAACAAGAACTTTTCTGGTGAAGATGAAGTCTTGCTACATTGGGCCAGGCTGGTCTCGAAGTCCTGGGCTCAAGTGATCTTCCTGCCTCAGCCTCTGAAACTGCTGGGATTACAGGTGTGAGCCACTGCGCCCAGCCCCTTTTCTTTAGACACAGAAATGATCTAGAGTCCCATGATACTGTCACATATGCTTCCTAATGGTGTTAAACAGGGTCCTCCAGGCAGGGAACATACGTGGGGCGGGCGTAGAGAAACAGGGCAGCATGCTGCGGGGACCAGGCTCTGCTTCATTTCAAATTCCCTCTTTTCAGAACCACCCACTAGGACTAAGATGAAACTGTCATCCTGAGAGTTTACTTGACATCCTCATGTACAATAATGATAAACATAGTAGGTAAAAATTAAAAAGTTTACTTTGGTGTGGTTGCGTTTCACAAATGCAATCCAAATTATTTTTTTTCTTTTCTTTTTTTTTTTTTTTTTTGACAGTCTCCCTCTGTCACCCAGGCTGAACTGCAGTAGCACAATCTTGGCTCACTGCAACCTCCACCTCCCAGGTTCAAGCAGTTCTCCTGCCTCAGCCTCCCAAATAGCTGGGATTACAGGCACATGCCACCATACCCGGCTAATTTTTGTATTTTTAGTAGAGACGGGGTTTCACCACATTGGCCAGACTGGTCTTGAACTTCTGACCTCAAGCGATCCGCCCTCCTCGGCCTCCCGAAGTGCTGGGATTATAGGCATTAGCCACTGCACCCGGCCCCAACACAAATCTTATGACAGCCCAGGGAGATGGATCAGCTGGCGTTTTTATTCCCATTTTACAAGTGAGGATGACAAGTCTTGCTGAGGCTCAGGTAGCTGCATCACAAATCACATTCTTCTGCTTTCTAGCTCCAGGTCCCTCCCATTACCTCGTACTTGCCAGGGATGCAGGTGGGTCAGCCAGACCCCTCATGGCTCCAATCCGGTCAAATCACCTCTTTCATGAAAGTTGGAGCTCTCACAAGGGCTGGCTCCCCAAACACAGTTCTCCATACTGGGAATGGCCCCAGCATGTTACCAGACATCCTGATGTATCTGCTTACCTTTAGTAACGAGCAGTCTCAGGAAGTCCTCTCTTCGAATGGCCTTTTTCCCTTTGGAGTTGGTATAACCGAGCACCTCAAAACTTTTGTGGATGCCACTCATGGTGTTACCAAAAGGTGGCTTGTGGTTAAGGTACACTTTGAGGAAATCTGGCAAGTTGATCTTGTCGATTAGCTTTCCAGTGTCCACATATTCACCAAATTTGATTTCGTTAAATATATCATCAATCTAGGGGAAAGATGGTTAAAAAAAAAAAAAAAAAAAAAAACATGATAAATAGAAAAGGCACTGGGATACATTTCTAAAAATTGGAAAGTAGGGCTGGTGCGGTGGCTCATGCCTATAATCCTAGCACTTTGGGAGGCCGTGGCTGGTGGATCATTTGAGGTCAGGAGTTTGAGACCAGCCTGGCCAACATGGTGAAACCCCATCTCTACTAAAAATGCAAAAATTAGCTGGGTGTGGTGGATCATTTGTGGTCAGGAGATTGAGACCAGCCTGGCCAACATGGTGAAACCCCATCTCTACTAAAAATACAAAAATTAGCCTGGCACGGTACGAGAATCACTTGAACCCTGGAGATTGAGGTTACAGTGAGCCAAGAACATGCCACTGCACTCCAGCCAGGGCAACAGAGTGAGACTCTGTCTCGGGGGAAAAAAAAAAAGAAGAATACTAATTTTCCATAAACTGCACAAAAATAGAGGAAAAAGGAATACTTTCTAATTCATTCCACAAGGCCAGTATCATCCTGAGACCAAAATCAGACAAAGATATCACAAGAAAAGGACACTACAGACCGAGATCTCTTATTATTTTAGATGTAAAAATCCTCCAGAAAATACAAGAAATTGAATCCAAGAGCATACAAAAGGATTGTGCACCATGATCAAGTGGGATTTATCCCAAGAATGCAAGGTTGGTTTAACATGTGAATCTCAATTAATATAATACAATATTATTAACAGAATAAAGGACAGAAACCACATGATCATCTAAACAGACACAGAACTAAAGCATTTAACAAAATCTAACAACTTTACATGATAAAAACACTCAACAAACTGGGAATAGAAGGAAGCTTCTTCGACCCAATAACGGCATGTGTGAAAAACCCACAGCTAACATCATACTCAATGATGAAGGACTAAATGCTTTCTCCTTCTAAGATCAGAAAAAAAGACAAGAATGTCTACTCTTACCACTTCCCCCGCCTCTTTTTTTTTTTTTTTGATACAGGGTCTCACTCTATCACCCAGGCTGGAGTGCAGTGAGGCAATCTCAGCTCACTGTAGCCTTGACCTCTCAGGCTCAGGCGATCCTCTCACCTCAGCCTCCAGAGTACCTGGGACTACAGGCATGCTTGACCATGCCTGGCTAATTTTTGTTCTTTTTGTTTTTTTAGAGATGGGGTTTCACCATGTTGCCCAGACTGGTCTCAAACTCCTGGGCTCAAGCAATCTGCCCACCTTGGTCTCTCAACGTGCTGGTATTACAGGCATAAGCCACCCGGCACCATTTCCATTCCACACTGTACTGGAGGTTCTAGCCAGGGAAACTAGGCAGGAAAAGAAGATAAAAGGCACCCAGAATTGAATGGGAGAAGCAAAACTATCTCTATTTGCAGATAACACAATCTTATAAAACAAACAAACAAACAAACAAAACACTAAAGAAAACATAAGTAAATGGAAAGACGTTCCATATTCAGGGGTTGGAAGACTTAAATTTTTTTTCTTTAAGGGACAGAATCTTGCTCTGTCACCCAGGCTGCAGCACAGCTGCCTCCCAAAGTGTAGGGATGCAGGAGGGAGCCATCATACCTTTTTTTTTTTTTTTTGAGAGATGGTGGCCAGGAGCAATGGCTCACACCTTTCCATCTCAGCACTTTGGGAGGCTGAGGCAGGATAATTGCTTGAACCTAGGAACTAGAGACCAGCCTGGGCAACCTGGTGAAACTCTGTCTCTACAAAAAATACGAAAATGAGCCGGGTGTTGTGGCATGCGCCTTTGCATTCACGCATGTGCTGTAGCCTCGTGCCATCTCACTACCTCCTCACCCCATGTACCCGCTACTGATTTTTCCATTTGCACTACCTCACTGCTCTATGTGGTTCATCACATGCGCGTGGATCCCTAACACACATGCTTCCTTTTACTTTAAAGACGCCTTTAAAAGGAGATCATCTTAAACCCAGTCACTTGTTGCTCTCAAGTTGTCACCCGCAGGTTACAGATACTGGCTCAGGGCATTTCATTCCCTTTCAGACTTTAGTTGCTTCGATTTGTGCATCTGGATGAAGCAAAAAGAAAATGTGACAGCTTGTCACTGCAAGAACTTAAAAACACTCTCCAGGGGGCTGCACCAGGCCACCTCACCTTAGAGCGTGCACAGCCTCTCATCAGAGATAAGAGCTATGACTCCAGGCTCCTAAACACCTTTTTGATAAGGGCTTTCCTTTTGGCCACCAGCAGATGATTGGGTGATTGTGTTATTACCGCCAACTCCTAGAGAACCCAGGCCCATGAGATCTTTCAGATGTTCATTCTTTGCAGCTTTAAAAAATAATAATTTAAAAAAATTTCCCCTTGTTATTTGGAAAGTCATTCTTTGTGTATTTTCTAATTTTTCTCGAATGAGAAAAGGGTGCTGACATGCCTAGGTTTAAGTGGAAACGCGGGGCCAGTTAACACAGGACTCCTCACAGGACGCCTTATGTCACTGGCAAAACATGAGGAAGAGAGAAATGTAATAATTAAAGAAACAAACAAAACTGTTCCTCACTGCCATCAGCCTCTCCCTGTGCAGTATTTTTGTACCGTGAATGTAGCAGTCAGCTGAAATGCAAAAACCCCAATTATACCAGTGAAAGGGCTAGGAATTAGTAACTTATTTTAGCATTTACATTTAAAACTAAGACGTTTCTCAATAAACTGTAGGGTTTGGAATTTTACAAAGAAAGAATAAGAGCAATAGAGAAGTGGGAAATAATTTGCTTCCTCTCCCCACTGCTCCTGCCAAAGAGCAGGTATTCTACTTTGGTCTGTGGGAATGAACCAGGAAGTTAATCTATATTTGTACACATTACTTATCAATCGGTAACCAGTTTCTCCCTGTCCCACTTAAAAATGTGGAACAAAAATTCAGAGGACACCAGTTTGCAGCACTGCCAAGCTACCAACCTGTCTCAAGTACCCTTCACCCTCACATCTTGGTCTGGCCTCAAGTATCAAGGAAAAAATAAAAATCTCTTGTAATCCAACCATCCAATCACAATTTCTGTGAAAGATTTGGGGCACTTCCTTCCTATTTTTTCTATGCATATAAAATACACGCACATATTTTTAACAAAACTGGTATCATATGTATAATTTTACATCCTGCTTTTTTCTTTTAACCCTGTATCTAAGTAATCACCTAGTATTTTCAGAGATGCCACATATTCTCAATGCAACATTCCAGGTCAGTTGTGGTGGCTCATGCCTGTAATCCGAGCACTTTGGGAGGTCAGGGTGGGAGGATGGCTTGAGCTCAGGAGTTTGAGACCAGCCTGGGCAGCATGATGAGACCTCATCTCTACTAAAATCTAAAAAATTAAACAGGTGCGGTGGCAGTCCTAGCTACTGCGGGCTCATGCAGGAGGATGGCTTGAGCCAGAAAGCCAAGGCTGCAGTGAGCCCTGATTGTGCCACTGCACTCCAGCCTGGGCCACAGAAGGAGACCCTGTCTCAAAAAAAAGGCAACGTTCCAGGAATGGCCTTTTGAGATAACATTATTGGTTACAGATACAAATTAACTATAATTGATATATAATTGATATTATAAAAGTGGCTGTAAATGGTAATACTGTTTCGTATACAGCATTTTACTGAGTTTATACTATGTACAATTGCCTTTTAAATCATGTATAATTTTATGTAGAAAGAAAACACTATCCAGTAGCAATTATTTGCATATTGTACTCTATAACTTTGACAGTATTAGTATATGCTAATACCACTATTTACCATGAGGCAGTCGAGGCGGGGGGCTAAAAGAGCAATCTTTGATGATAGACCTAGGTTCAAACTCTGGCTCTGCCATTTTCTGTTTATATGACCTTGAGTGAGTTACTCACATTCCTTCTCAGTTTCCTCATCTTGAGAAAACAGGGAATACAGTAATACGTATGCACTGGGCTTTTTTGAAGCTTATTGAGACTATGTATGTAAAGTGCTTAACATAATGCCTAACACATAGCAAGCATTCAACAGACAGTAATTATTCTTGTGATTATTATACTTTTCTATGCACTTGCTAATTAGAATATATGTAATCATAACATAAGACAAATTATAATTTGGCTGGGTGGGGTGGCTCACACCTGTAATCCCAGCACTTTAGGAGGCTGGGGTGGGTAGATCGCTTTAGGAGTTTCAGACAGCCTGGGCAACATGGTGAAACCCTGTCTCTACAAAAAAGACAACAAATTAGCTTGGCATGGTGGCACATGTGCTTATAGTCCCAGCTACTTGGGAGGCTGAGATGGGAGGATCACCTGAGCCCGAGAGGTGGAGGCTGCAGTGAGCCGTGATTGTGCCACTGCACTCCAGCCTGGGCAACAGGAGTGAGGAGTAAGACCCTGTCTCAAAAAGAAAAAAATAATAATAATAAAATAAATAATATATATAAATTACTGATATAATATATGATTTAACTCAGTTCAGAAACAGGAGACTAAGATGACAAAAGGAATTCATAAGGGCCTGAGTTACTCATACCCAGAGAGTTCCAAAGAGCTCAGCAAACATTCACAGCACAAGCCACTCAGCATGTGATTCACCTCTTACTCTCTCTTCCCGTATGACGGATCAAGAATCACTACTCAACAAGCACAGAGTTGGCAGCTTCGGCATCACTGACATTTCCTTCCTGAGCCGACTTCGCTAGTGTTCGTTGAAAAGGCAGGTTCTGCTACATGTCTGAACGAAGTTCATGCTTGGGAGAGGAACCTCGGAGCCGGAAATAGAACGCGGAGCTCATTCTGAACACCCCCGTGTGAAGATGACTCGAGAGAAGCAGGAGTCCTGGCTGAGCGGCCCAGACACTCTGGTGGTTGTCAGTCAGCCTGGCCTTTGATAGGCATTCTCACGCCTGCTAAGGCGCGGCTTCATGCCATTCACCTGGAGCGCTTCAACAGTTCTGAGGCCCAGATCCTATTCCCTGAGAACCTGATTTTTTTTTTTTT